CCTTCGATAGAACCCTGTGCTATGCTTTTCATATGACGATATTTTCCCGATGGGGTCTGATTTCAATGGTGAGCCTCGGAGAAGTTGTGGTGGAACACCTGTCTCACCAGGGTCATCACACAGCCATACTTGTCTTTACCGCTCGCTATTTAACCTTTTCGAGGTACTGCACACATGTTGAGGGCTTAATGTGACGTTATGGGTTCATCCTTTCCCCGTACAATTCGGTGGGATGTCTAGAAGTGTAGGTTCACCAGAAGAACTTCCATGTTCCCCTTTGTCGGTCTCTTCACCCCCATCAATGCTCTTTTCCTGCGCTCGTTACAGTGTCTGAATTTTGAAAGTGAACACTACACGTTTTAGATTGTTCCTGTATTTTCAGCAGATTGAATTATGCCGTGCTGGCAGCAGCCGTTTTGAAAAGTTGACTAACCTGCATGATGTGCTCTCAGTTATAGCTTCAGAACAGGAATTGAATCAGTTTGTCCACATGTGCTCAAGGTAATTGCTTTACTGAATCCGAAAAGTTAAGCATTCTCCCCTCTACCTCTCTAAGCCGTGATACTTTCGTTTGCCGTTTCTAGATTGCCTCAATGTCAAGACGGCTTAAGCTTGTGTATCATTTTGCTTTAGGAAACTGGATCACGAGGTTTCCATTACCATTGAGAGCCAGTTAGAGAGTGGGCCCCGCTGTTGTTTCTATATTGTTGATAACGTCAACGTGAAAACCTTCCGCACCTACGCCGTCTTTGTTGTGCCTCTAGGACGGTTCGTTATTGCTTCATTACTTGAAACATTAGAGTTTTGAAGCTTTAAAAGTCTGGAGAATATATATTCGAAGTTTTTACCGTTTCTGTGGATCGGGTACTGGTCTTCCAAAATCCATTTTGCCGTGACGGTCACAAACTAACTAGGTTTTTTGATAGTTGCTTTAATATAATGCAGCACTTCCATGACAAACAATATGTCCAGCTTCAAATATCGCAACGCCGCATCGGAGCGCGTGGGTCTCTTGACCGACGCTCTACGAAATGCATAAAAGATACTGGAGAATCATTGGGGAAGATGCATATAAACTGTAGATAGCCTGCTTTTTAGGCACTTTCATGATGTTGAGTTCAGCTGTTATGTTTCAGAGAAGGCGAGTGGATATTCTCGACAGAACAGGGTCGCAGAACATTGCGCCAACAAGCTGATAAGGTGAGGGCTTTTCAGGGTCGTTAGCTTTGAGCTACGGAACTATATAGTGTGAAATGAGTGATGAATGAAAACTCCATTTGTCTTGTTAAGGATCGCCTGGCAGTTGTGACGTTGTCGCGATCTCAAACTTACTCGTCATTGAAGGAAGTCCAAGATGAATTGGGTCCGTTCGCTACTAGGTTCGATCCACGGGAGAGCCTCGGCCTAGTTGGTTTCAGTTTTTAGTAACTGTGTCAGCTATAATTGAGTACTGGTTGGTTTTTTGGCACATTAGACACGTAATGTTTGCCTCTGGACTCGGACGGACGCTGGTTCAAGGTTGTTTCGTTCGACAGCGTCTTTTATACGCGTCTATGTACCCTCTGTCCTTGGCCCATAATACGGCAGAGGTGACGGCCAGGATGTCCGCATTGCTGCGGCGCGACAAAATCTCCCACGCGGAACAAACAGTACCAGTGTGCAGCGGCGATAATCCATCATGCGGTTTGAGTAGCACTCCACAACGTGCACCTTCTGACTGACACCCATAATCAAGCTTCTGGTTCGGTCAGCATGCAGTCCTCAAAGGCACGCCGCGCGTTCGTAACGATGAGTTGTGCGGCTCACAGTTAGACACTAGTGGAAAGGTAGTACGTGATTCAGCAGTGAAGCAAAAAAAAGAAAAAAACTCGCAGAAAATTCCCGCATGGAGCTCCACGCTCAACCGAGCTCGTATGTGCATAAGACGAATCTTGGGCGTGGTTGGACGAGTTTCCGCTTGTTGCTCCTCATCCTTATCGAAACGCTCTCACCATTCAAAAGCGAGGAAGCCAGTAGGGGAACAACACCATCAGGTAGCAGTTGAAAATGAAAGTGGCGTCTCGCATGGCTACTGGGCGGAGCCATTCGCGTCGTTCATGCTAACAGCTGTCATTTGTGCACCGGTCGCGTGCGGCTCTCTTGGCACTTTGCCAAGTCCTGTAATTGCGCTTACAAGTAAAACGCAATTTCCTGATGCGGATAACATTTTAGGTGCTGCAAAATAAGAACCGAAGATGATGACGAGGGCCAGAACTCAAGAGCAACTGTGCTGCTTCTGCAACATCCCTCAGAGGCCGCGCATTCCCACACAACATGGAAATAAAAACGGTCTAACCGTCGTCATCATCTTCGTTCTTATTTTGCAGCACCTAAAATGTTATCCGCATCAGGAAATTGCGTTTTACTTGTATTCCAAAGCGCAATTACAGGACTTGGCAAAGTGCCAAGAGAGCCGCACGCGACACGCGCGCACGACGGCTGTTAGCATGAACGGGAGTCTGCGCCGCAAAAGGCATTGGGCGGAGCATGGAGGAATTAGCGTGTTTCACGGTCCTGTATCTATTCCTGCATGTTAGGACGGGGAAACCGCTACGCTTCGACAGCTAGGGGGCTGTTAGTCACGCACACCCAAACTATGTGATCGTACCATGTGTCTTTATGAAAAGATCTCATTAGCGCTTGAAACATGTTGGTATAGAGAAATGTTGGACCGCTTAGCTTTCACCGGATCTCTCATTTCAGTCCCCTTCCTTCCCTTTATCTAATTTATTTCCGCTTGAGTAAGCATATTCAATAATACCTACAGTTGTTTCACTGCAGACGCTGGGCGTGTTAGGTGGGTGGGTTGAACGCGGCGCCAGCCCGTTCCACCAGTTGTTCAAGCGGACAGCGACAAGAACTGGTGGAAAACGGGCTGATGTATCGTTAAACCCATGCCCCCTCCCCTCCCTGACATGCCTCAGCGTCTCCAGCGAAAGCGACCGTTCACAGATTGACTTCCTATCCACTGGAGATGTCGATGTGCGTGTGACCAAAGCATCCGGTGAATCCTCGGTAAATGGAAAATGGACGGTTGAAGACGTTGTCGTAGATGGCCAAGAATACAGGCGGCTTATTTTCCTATCTAGCAGTAATGTTATCCAGTCTGAAGCTCTACTGAGAAGTGAGTACTGTGTATTATTTCCGGTTTGATCCAATTTATTGAATTACTTGCTGACAGATAAAAACTGATACTTGCTGATGTTTTTCAGATAAAAAAGGCGGAAAGAAAGGGGTTGATCTGGAAAATTTGAGTTGCGATCATCATATTCTCATGTTATCTGGGCTAGCCTTATTGCCTCG